AAAGTCTCAAACCATAATATTCTTTCTACACAAACAGTTTATCACTATTTGGTAGAGCAAGGTCAAGTAGTCAACTATCAACTTTGACACATTTTTTGATGTTCTCGCTGGGTGATGCGCACTGTCTCTCTTTGGATCTCAACACTTTCCGCCAGATGGCCCAGACCTAGTGTTTTGGCAATAGTATGGCACACAAGAGTATGAAGTCACTATTTCAACTAACAACAAATGCGTGGAACTAAGAAAAAATCTTAATATAAAGGAAAAAAGTCCAGAAGTGTCGGAATTACCCAGTACCCACGATGTCGGAATATACCGCGTTTACTCTAGTTGTTAAAACATCTGTTTTTTTAGACATAGCTAATCCCAGTTGTAAAATTAAATAGTAAAGTTAAATATCTATAGCAGTTGGTGACAATTTCAGGATTGAAAACCACTACTATAGCGGTTTATAGCAGTTTCAGCTTTTATTAGGCCTTATGCCTATTGCCAAATCTCAACATCACAGAACATTCACAGCATTTTGTGGTCTCTAACTCATAACACTGCTCAAATTCTGCTGTGCTTAACCGCCCAGCAGGCTGGAATTCTTAAATTTGTGATTCACATAAAAAAGCATTCTGCCTTAGAAAAAAACATTCCAAGCAACTAGAAACAGGTTTGCAGGCCATCAGAAATCGGCTTCGGTTATGGTACCGTCAACCGGGGCTACTCGGGACAGGCGGGGCTACTCGGGACAGGCCTATGACACGGCGTAAAACTGTTGTAGTAGCAAAACTAATTGGAATATCACAAAACTAAAAATGGTGGCGTAAACGTAACTATTTTTCCTATCTATCTAGTATAAAGGAAGTCGAAAAATACTACATTTACTTGCTTTGAAAAATTCCTGAAAAAATGGTGAAAAACTATGTTTTGTAAAGTTACAACTGCTAAGGTATGTAGCAAAGAAAATATTCGCCGTATTAAAAAATTTTACTTACATAAAAGTTGCACCCAGGTGTCGGCTTGAAAACGTAATTGACAGAATTTGCCTATCTAATTCCAAAAAGAAATGGCAGCCATTTCCGCACGGCGGGGCTACTCGGGACACCCCCCCGGGGCTATTCGGGACACCCCCATAAACGCATTAAGGGTAGAACCTCAGTCAGCAAAGGCTTCAATTACGAAAAAAATTGATTAAAAACAAAGAATATTGATCACATTTTCCTTGCTCAGCGAAAAAAATTTCACTTATTGAAAAATTAGTGCATCATCAGTCATCTTAAAATTGTGCATAGCATGTCATGTATAGAATTGTGCACCAGGCATTATAGAATGAAAAGTAATTGACCTAAACTATGATTTATTTCTCCAAAAGATAGGCTGGTTGTCACTAAAACATTCCTTTCAGGAAGTTAATGATCATGCGAAGTTAATGATCATGGGAAGTTAAATACCACATGAAGTTAATGATCACGTGAAGTTAATGATCACGTGAAGTTTAATGATCACGTGAAGTTAATGATCACGTGAAGTTAATGATCACATTTTTTGACAACGCCATTCGATAGCCCTGCCAATCAGCTATAAAATGAGACTAAACTTGTTTATGAAATGTTTCATCGTAAGAAGTTATTAACTGTTATTTAAAACTAATCGTTCAAATCTGTCCCGAGTAGCCCCGGTTGACGGTAGCTATGATCGTATGAACATCAAGTCAGGCAACACAGAGAAGGTCCCATGCAAGATTGTTAATTTTGCACGTCACTCACAGATGAGCAAGAGGGATGGATCTACAGAAGGAAATACTATTCACTCCCAACATAATAGTTTCAAATTAAATATAAAAAACATTTATGGTACCTATTCGTTACCTCAGCTTTCGAATTGAGGAGAAACTCATCAGCAGTTGGAGAAACTTCTCAAAGAAGAGGCAATCACAACAAACATGACACTTCACAGTTGACTGACTAGAATAGACTCAATAGTCAATAGAGTACTCGAAAGTAAAAAATTTAGCATTAAAACCTTTAGATTCTGTGAACCTTGTGATTTCTTCATTATTAAAACTTTAGAAGGCTCACAATATATTACGTAAAGTTTTCACTTAATTATCATCTCGAAGTTCGGGAGCTCTATCTGCAGTAATGTTCTGTAGTTACCTCACCCACCCGGTCCCACCGATTGCGTAATGAGAACTAACCACTAACCATCATTAGATTCCCGCCACTGTTGCACACAATTGATTCTGCATGCATGTATAATAATTACAAAGGTTATTAAACCATTCTGATTTGTGTTGAATGTCAGTTACTGATAAATTTTTAATATTAAAGAATTTGTATCTTTCATTTTTTCACATGACTATATTGATGTCGGTTTCTCATTGGTCGCCGGTGCGGTTGGTATCCCTGCTACCTTCATTGTTTACGTTTTTTGTTTAGCTGATCGCAACAAAAGGAGATTGTATGTCTCAGCTGATTGCATCAGTGGTCAGTTTTGTATTTGTGAGCGAGTGTACATAGTGAAGATGTTATTCTTTGCGATTTCCATCAATAATGACATAACTACACTATTGTATTATGCTCTTGAAATAAGAATTGTAGCATTACGCATTAAGTTATCATCAGTGCGTTAACATTGTGTGCATTTGAGGTGGTCCCTTCTAGCTTTCTATCGCTGATTGGATTCCAGTGGCTGTGACGTTGCACACGTTCTAGCGATGATTGGATCCCTGTGACAGTACGTTGGACGCGTTCAAGCATTGATTGGATTCTTGTGACTGTTACATTGGACACGTTCAAGCATTGATTGGATTCTTGTTGCTGTGATGATGCAAGCGCTGTTTTTTTCAATGAAACGGCTGTGGCATCTTGCAGAGACTCATCAGTGATGTTGATGGACTGAAAGTAGAAGTGTGCTGGACATTACAGATTTTTGGGTCCTGCTTTCCAATTTGCTATGTTTACCAGTTAATATATTACCCCTCTGGAATTCCACACTGCCACCCAGCCTCCTTGCCTATTATGACCATAAACTGGCTGGTGCACACTGCACAGAGCTGGGATCAAACCCATGTCTCTCTACTCCAATCTTGGTACTCTGATGTCTGAACTTAAACCACTGGACTACTAGTTGAAGAATGAAAGCATGGAAAATATCTACCTTTAGTGCTGCAACTAGAGCTTTCCCGTCATTTCTGGGACCATGAGGTTTCTGCCAGATGAATTACCTCCTATCTAATTTCTAAGAAAAGTGCACATTCAAGCCGTGAGATTCCAAATGTGTTGAAAATTTGTCACATTTGAGCCGCGAGATTTCAGAAACAAGTAGGGAAATTACTATCCTGGTTACTATTAGATTGATCATGGAAGTCATTGTAATAATTTTTGCATACTTTCTATATTTTTTGTACAAACTGCTGCTCATGCACCATAGTACAAAATGATTATAACCTACAAAATGGTAGGTTATAATCATATCATGTGATCAATGTGCAAAGTTAATGCTTATACATAATAGTCTACAACATTGATGTTATCCAGGATTGGAATTTTCTAACTTATAAATGAAATCTTAAGGCAACAAAGCTATAATTTTGGTACATTTGGAAACTTGTGGTAAGTTGTGGTTCAATTGTGCACTTGTGTTCAGTCACTGTTGACATTGTATATATATATAAGTAAATCATCTAGCGGGAATCTCATGGTTCCAAAAATGGCAAGGAAAGCCCTAGTTGCTGCTTGGAAGGTTATGGAAGGAAGGTAGATATATTCTACACCAGCACCAGATTTGATCCACATATGTCAAAAGATCACTATTTTAATTTTTTATGAAAATTAATATTTTACAATAGAAAAGAAATGAATTTGGAAGTTTAAGAATTTTTTTCTCTAATGGAATGGCAAGGAGTTTTCAATCTAAAATGTGATATAAATTTATATACAGCAATCCCTTGATTAACGCGGTTGATAAATCCCCGAGTTTTACGGTGTTAAGCAAAACCGCGCTAATCAAACTTAAGAATATACGGGAATAATTATAATGAATCCTCAAAAATAGCAAAGTTACATAATAATTTTTTTTTTACTAAAATTTATCATATTTTGCTTAGTTCAATTGATCATTCAAGCTTAGTCTCCAAAGTGATATTTTTACGTTTAAGCATTCCCTTTTTGTCCATAATTATGACGGTAATTTATCAAGGAAAATTATTTAGTTTGATAAAAATGAGCAGTAGATATGGCAGCAATCTTGACCAGTTGAAGGCTAACGAGTAACTAGAGCACTGGCATGGCGCACTTACCGGCAAACATTGCCGAACTCAACCATTCGAGTTATGAACGAGACAAGGCGCGGTTAAACCGACTCTGTAGTCAGCACGAGTGCCTACGGAACAGGACCTTATTTAAAGAATTATTGGCTGAAATTCATAAAGTAACAACATTTGGCGAATTTTTCCAAAAGTTGTAACAAAAGTAACAACATAAGATCTAATAAGCAAAAAGTAACACTTTTGTTACGAACGTAACACCTCTGGCTAGAGGCAGGAAAATGATGCGTTGTGAAAAAAAAGTCGCGCTCATCAAAACTGGCACCGCGTAGATTAAGGGTAGGTCGCAAATTTTTTTTCCGCGTTAATCAAAACCGCGGTATTCAAAACCGTGCTAATCAAGGGATTGCTGTATAGGCTTCAAAACATCTAATATTAATTTGAATGAAATTTTCCTAAGTATATATGACTTATGATAGTGTCAATTAAAGGCTCATTAAGAATTTATTGCTGATATATCCTGGTTTCATCACATGCATTCTGATGCATAGCTCCATTGTACCTGTTTGATTATGATTCATTATGGCATGCAAGATAACCAAATAGTGTACATATAGGAGCATATTTCATTTGCTAGATAAAAATTAAAGTTATTGGAATTTCATATATATTAGTATGCAACCATTTTTTCTTTAAAGTTTGTAATAATTCGTGTTTGTAAACTAATGTTCTGCTTGTTGTGCAGTTCCATTTGATGAAGATGAACGAGATCCAAAAGTTTGGTTTCTTGACCATGACTACTTGGAAAACAAATACCAGATGTTCAAGAAAGTCAATGCAAGAGAGAAAATTGTTGGCTGGTATCATTCAGGTGATTAATAATAAGGCTTGGTGTGTAGCCCTGTGAGTAATGTGGCTTGCTGCCGAGCCTGGTGAGTAATGAGGCTTCATGCAGAGCCTGGTGAGTAATGAGGCTTCATGCAGAGCCTGGTGAGTAATGAGGCTTGGTGCAGAGCCTGGTGAGTAATGAGGCTTCATGCAGAGCCTGGTGAGTAATGAGGCTTCATGCAGAGCCTGGTGAGTAATGAGGCTTGGTGCAGAGCCTGGTGAGTAATGTGGCTTGGTGCAGAGCCTTTTCACTGGAATTCCGAATTTATAGGGTGTTGAGTATTAAGGGTAGGTTAATTAGTTATGAGTTAATTTGAAGCAGTCATTGCAAAAAGCCCTTTTTTACTTTTAAATTATGAAGGGCTGTATGTATTTATAAATGAAAGAGTTGTGTAAGCAAGACAAAAATGCCATACTATGTAACCACAACACTTTATTTTTCTTTTATTTGGCTGACCACATATTCATATGAAAGCCGTGTGTGTGTTTAGTAAATAATAAGAAAAGCAAGTTTCAACTGGTTTCTTCTGTATAATTATTTTATGAGCCTTCATTGTTACCTTAATGGAGAGCAAAGCTAATTTATATCATTTGACAGGCCCAAAGCTTCGCCAGAACGACATCGCCATCAATGACTTGGTGCGGCGGTACTGCAGCAACTCTGTGCTGGTCATCATAGACACGGAGGCCAGGAACGTGGGACTCCCCACTGAGGCCTACTACAGTGTCGAGGAGGTTCATGATGTAGGTTCTGGGTGATGTGTGCCCTGGGCAGTGGGCACTTTAGGTTATGAGCAGTGTGGGACCAGGACACTGAAGGTAGAACTTGAGCAGCATGGAGCTAATCCTATAGGAGCTCTGGCATGGAGCTCATCCTAAAGGAGCTCCAGTGTGGAGCTTATCCTAAAGACGGAAAATTGTACAAGTACAGAGTTGCATTCAAGCTGCTTGTCATTTCTATACAAAGTGGTTGCCATTTATGTACTCAGCCTCTTGTCATATTAAGTAAAATAAAAGGCCCTCACTACACATAAAATGGATTCAAATAGTGTCAAGCCTCAGGGCCTGGTAGTCTGGTGTGAGCAGACCTCACCAAAATGCCACTTGCTCAACAATGCTCATGCACTAATACTAATTTTAAACTAAAAGCAAATACTGAGCATTAACTTCCAGGTAGGGAAATGTACTTATTAATTTCCCAATAATTAATTAATTATTGTAGAAGTAACTGGGAATGCAAGTATGTGAAGGAACAGTGACACGATTTTCAGGAGACGACAGTTTTGTAGCAGATGCATAGCAATATGTGTAGCAGATCAGTGTAATTTAATAATTAATTTGTGATGGTGGCACGAAATAGGCCCTTGCAGAACATGAGTGTTGAGCTTACAGCTATCAAATAAGTGTTATTCACTCAAGAGAAATATCTGTAGAGGACTATGTGTTAATTCTAGGCAATGATAAACGCCTAAAATGTCTTGTGAATACAGGACGGCACACCAACCAGCAAGACATTCGAGCATGTGGCAAGCGAGATTGGTGCTGAAGAGGCTGAAGAGGTTGGCGTTGAGCATCTTCTCAGGGATATTAAGGTAAGTCATTAGTTTAAATGTATGTTTTAGCCCTTACCGCCTGGCATGAGTAACCAGAGCAACATTGTCACAAGCATACTTCCCAAAAAGAATAGGCTCTGGTGAGCACAAAATGACTTGCACTGATGGTTGTCTCCATGTACGACTTTAAATTGTTCTCTGTTGCGTACAAACGTCCTCATGTTGCTACACTCAATAGTTTACTTATAATTTAAGTTGAAAGTTATGTTCCCGGAGAGTGACATGGTGGTAGAGGGTTAATGTTGAGAGTTGATAATTAAACAATAATAATTGCTGGTGCATCTTATTTCAGAGTTAATGTTTTGTGCTGAAACGGGAGTAAAAGTTGAGGGGTTGTAACGTAGGCTTGAGTGCAAGTCCAATTTCAAAGTAAATGATAACTTGTAGTTGTGCAAATTACATCATTTCCGTCTGGTTGACTTCAGCTTAGGGTGTGCTGCACAAAGCACTGTAAGAAGTTATCATGCTTGTACATGCACAGACCTCAGTTTGTTTGGTCTCACCATAGTATTTCATGTGCAGGACACAGTGTATGGGTCGCTGGGAGAGCGCTTGACAAGTCAGGTGTTGGGTCTGCGTGGACTATACCAGCACCTGACCCACGTACGCAGCTACCTGCAGCAAGTTCTGGATGGTACCTTGCCTGTCAACCACACCATCGTCTACCAGCTCCAGGTAATGCTGGTAGCCCCACCATCCTCTACCAGCTCCAGGTAATGCTGACAGCCCCACCATCCTCTACCAGCTCCAGGTAATGCTGACAGCCCCACCATCCTCTACCACAGCTCCAGGTAATGCTGGTAGCCCCACCATCCTCTACCAGCTCCAGGTAATGCTGGCAGCCCCACCATCGTCTACCTGCTCCAGGTAATGCTGGCAGCCTCACCATCGTCTACCTGCTCTTGTCATCTACATGACAGCACAATTCACCAACATAAAACATGTCTCCCGAGTAGCTGGTTATTGCTCGGCCGCTAGCTTATACTCGGTAACTCCGCATTTCAATGCATCCCCGCACCCACTAACTTACTCCCTGCATTGCATTCCCCTAAAATGACTTTCACGTTTCATTACACTGTCCGTCCACGAACTTGGCCCCGTATTTCAGTCCATTCTAACCCACTAATTTTTCTTCCTCATTCCAATACTTCCCCTAACCCTCTAACTCACCTCCTGTATTCCAGGACATGTTCAACCTGCTCCCTGACGTGAGCAACCCAGGCCTGGTGACGAGCTTGTCTGTGAAGACCAACGACCAGCTGCTGGTGATGTACCTAGCGTCGCTGGTGCGCTCCGTCATCGCACTCCACAACCTCATCAACAACAAGCTGGCTAACACCGACGCTGAGAAGAAGGAGACTGACACTAAGAAAGATTCCAGTGATACCAAGAAAGATGCCAGTGACAACAAGAAAGATGCTAGTGATAATAAGAAAGATTCGAATGACTCAAAGAAAGATGGAAGTGATTCAAAAAAGGACACAAGTACGGCGAAGAAGGACGCAAGTGATTCGAAAAAAACTGGCGATAAGAAGAAAGAAAAAGGCGATAAGGAGAAGGATACATCCGCGTCTACGGGCACTGACAAGAAAGATAAAAAATGAAAACAAAAGAAGAGGGAGCGCAAGAAGAGCGGCAGGAAGCGGCGAAAATAAAGAAATGTGTCAGAGAATTAGAGAAAATTTAGAATACAAGTATTGAGAACTGATTGAAAGCCATAGAATTGAAGAGACTTGTTGATATGAAATTAGATCCTAGGATGAGGGCAATGTGAGGCTGCAAGTAAGGGAAAATTTTCTACCGATATGCATTTAGTTTTCATCAGAATCGATGAGTAAAGGAGGCCTGAGGAAGGCGAGAGATAAAGAACAAGCCTGCAAATGAATATTATTTCATTGCAACTTTGTAAGAGAAAAAAAATTAGCATAATTGCTAGCGAGTATCCGCGTATTTATTTCTCCATGTGTTTTCCGGCTTATTTTTGTTTATAAATAAACTAGATGCAGAAATGAGAGATGAAAGCACACATCAAATAATTTAATTTATTTGTATTTCTTCACTATTTTTGTACTACAGTTTAGTGATGGTTGTTATTATTCTTATCCAGGGTTACGCTTATCTCCTCAAGGATGACGAGAGATGAAATACTCGAATGAGATACGACTCGTATTTAGAACACGGGTCCCTGCATGAGCTCTGAGTATACCAGCCAAAACCATGATCAACGGTAACCATCGTCACCGCAAGTTTTAATAATTTTTGAATGCAACCCAAGACAAAGGCCACACCGGATATATTAGTGGGACCCGAGCTTCTTCACGTTGTTTACCTTACCCTGCCGCAACTGATATATTTCCTTTCCAAAATTTATTGCCAAAATTTAAATTACTATTTCAATTATGCTACCATCACCCTTGTAGAACGGATACATTACTCATGGGGATAATTACCATGGCAATTTAGGAACGGTTCTGTAGCACCTCCTCATACGAGACCTGTCATCATTTCATTCTTTACTAATTTAACCTTTTACCTACATTTACTTATGTTGCAAAGTGCACTTTAAGTAATGATATTGTATGGAGAATTGCTATAGTAATGGAATGTCTTGTATGACGAGAGGCGTCTGGCCACCTAAGGAACTACAAATATTGGGACGACAATGGCGCTCCCACCCAGGGACCATGCATTTGGTTCGTTATGAAATCCACCAATTTATTATTGCTGCTGCGACAAGGCGGCGACTACGTGCATCGGTAATGTATATTATTGAGGCACAAAATTAGTGATCACAGCGTGCATATTATTGGAACTTAGGCAGTCATTCGGATACCGAATAAACGGTAAATTATTAACAAGATATATTAGGACGCGATCAGGAAGTGGCGTATCATTAGAACGCCAACGCATTATGTAGACTCCGTGGCCGTTATGTGTACAACTATCCTGATGATGATTAGTGGTTAACAGTGTAATTGCCACGCCTTAGCTGCCTGTAAACGACCATTTGATATCGCCAGTTCTAAAGTATTGGTTGTGCTATTTCTGGTGACCGCGCGTGAGTGCTGCATTTGTCTTGGGGTTCTTCTTCGTTTAGCTGCTGTTTGCCTGAAACAGTTCTAATAATTAGAAAAATATTAAAAATCCCATTCGTTCCATAGGTTAACTTTTGCCTTCAGGTAAATCTGGTTGGAATATATTTTCAAGTAGTTAGCTGTTCTATGGCTCTCTGGATACCATCTTGCTGGAGTAGTGACCCTAGTGATCCGCCCGTCCCTAGCGACCTACAGTTTGTCATCGCGCTTATTGTATTGTCGGTTGTTGGCGGTCATTTCTTACATGATCATTTGTGTTCTTGACATCTTGTAAATATTCCATTGCGGAACTCTTGTACGAAATTAACCTAATAAGTCAGCATTTCTCTGCTAATTTTCGGCAATCTACACATTTGCGTCGAGAGTTTGACAGTTTATTCGAAGATTTCTTATTGTAATTCGATGAAGCTTATCTGTGCCCTAACATTAAAGAATTTTTTTACTACGCGCGAGTTTTGTCTCTCTGGATTTTGCAGAAAAAAAACTTCTGAAATGTTTGGAGATGTATTTTTATTGCCGCGTCTGACACGGAATTAATCTTTAGCAGAACTTATTTGTTCAATAAAAGTTTGTAATATCCCGCTCAATATGGCTGGATCGTGTGGACAGCATGAAATATTCAGTCTTTGTGCAACTTGGATGCCGCACTGTGTGGCTTGCTAGTGAGTGGGTTAAAACTTCCACCATATATGATCATGTGACCATTAAATGATCGAATACAATGCACAAACATGATCACATAACTGATCGCGGGGCGGATAATGAGAGTAAATCAGTAAGTTCATTTACTCAGTAAAATGTTAATCCTTGACGCTGTATCCGTAGAGAGGCAGGCAGTGAAGAAGGTGTGGCCTAGACACTATGGTTGCTCCATCACAGGTGCGTTCTCTGTGACATGAAGCGTGGCTCTGAAGCTGTAGCAGGAGAGACGTTCTCGTTAATTATTTTTTGTCACGACAATACGAGTGTGAATGCTGCGTGGGCTTAAATTTGTAGTGCTTCTGATGTGTAAACTCTCACAAGTACAAAAAATTAATTTCTGTTCTATGAGGGTAAAATTTTTTATAGGTAAAAACTAGAACAAGCTAATTTTGCTCTGCAATGAGAACTAAGACTGAGGCGCAATCACAAGTTAATCCTCCCACACACGCTTACCTCGTTCTTCACTCAATATTTCAGAGAATCTTCTATAAAATATTTTCGTTTTTTATCATGTTATTCCGTTATTCGAGCTATTTAAAGAGTAAAAAACAATTGAAATATAATTTCAAGAACATAAATCGCAGGAAAAATGAGTTAGTGCAGACATCATGCTCTTGTTTGCTACATGTCAACCATGATCTCAACCCGTCCTCTACACTGGTCTTCTCTGCGGAAGGTTAATCAACCCCCAAAACCTCACCCCTTCCTCTCGCACTTAGTCACTCCATGTTGGGCAGTCCTAACCCCACACTCGTGCAGGGCTGCCAACAGTCGCTGTTCTTCAGCTGCCTTCAGCAAGGATTTCCCCAGCCATAGGTCGGCATACCTACAAAAATGGCATCCTCAAAAATGGGTACAGTGATGGGATGCATGTCATATGCCAGCACAGGCCAACCTGCATCTAATTTGTATTTCTTTCCGTGTTTAAGTACGCTAGAGAGCGTATGAAGTTTAGTGATAAAAGTACATAGAAAACAGATGCTCAAAATAGTTAGCAAATTATTGAAGATTCTGAAGTAAAACTAACCTTTTGTCAAGAGGAGCAAGAGCCACCACAGTCCGCGCAACGTCCTCCCATGTCCAGTGACCAGAGTTGGGATCTTCCACCGTCAGGGACGGAGCAGGCGGAGACGGCAGTGGCACCGGAACGGCAGGGCTCGCCAGGGGGCGCGTATAGACGCCTGTGTAGATGACGCAAGTCGGACAGTGATATGCAGATTTTTAATAATTTGGATGACAATTAACTGATGGCATACGACGTGGTAATTGTGTTATGAGGATTATTTTTTATATCCAATAATGCGTTTGTAGGGCACTAAAGTGCATTGAAGAATTTTATTATAGGAATACTTTGAAATAAACTGCGTTAATATTGTAAAATTTCCAACAAGTGGCCACAGATTGGTAACTATGCGCTGAAATCGCCATCGGAAAAACACTGCTTGCGAAAATTCCTGAAACAGAATGCTACATACAAATGATGTACAGTGATCTTGGTTTGTTGAAGTTTCGGCTGCGCATCGAGAAGCGCTAGGCGGAACTTCTGCGGTGGCTGTAGCCTTGTGACGAGTGTGCAGTGTGCATTCAGGAATCAGATAAAACATACGAGTTAAAGTGAATATGTGCCTAAAAAAGTTGCATGAGAAGTCCTAGCTGGAGCATAAAATAAACCATTTAAAATTGCAGTGGCAGAGCACACAAGTAAGAGTTCACATCGTCTCTGTGAATGGCCACTACAGTCCATGAGATCCATGCAACATTTTTTTAATGAAGTTTATTTGATTATTACTAAATTCGCAACCAATTTTTGTAAATAATACAAATTTTTTAACCGTTTCTGTTTACTAGCACTGCTACACTAGCCCTTAATTCTGATGGCATTCGAAATACTCTTTACCGATCACATCGAGAATGAGTTACTCACGGAGTGTTTGATATTTGTGCTGTAGAGCGCCGAGATCAGGAGCCACACTGTGAAGATACAAGCGCATGTCTGTGCTGGAGCCTGATACTGAGGACACGTGACGTACAGCTTCGGATGAGGCGACACAGCCTTGAAATTTAACCAGCTTGCACCTGGGCATGAACAATCAGAGATCAAATTTTGTAAATTCGTCGAGTAATTTTGATTTAGCTTCCGACCAATTTGATCATCATGTAATTTTGAATTTGCGATCATCATGTACCAAATGATCACCGCACGAGCGTTGTAGTCATCTATGAAGTCATTTTGCAACTCATCCACGCGACAAAATTTCTTCTCGCTTCGAATCACCGACATGTGGAATAGCCTCCCCGATTACGTCGTTGACACTCCGAGTAAAACGCATTCAAGAACAGACTAGATGAAGATATGGAAAAATATACGTTCAGATTTGAAATGCATAGCACCATATCGAACTCGATGGAAATCTAGTTACTCTAGTAGCGATTTCAAACTATCGTCAATTTTAAAAAGATCTGGTCAAACGACCTGAGACTAGATCTCTTGTGGACAAGTCATGAAAATTACTGGAATCGGCGACAGGCCACATTGGGCCTACTCTTCAGCGCCCACATCACTATGTTATGTTTTGTGATTTAATTTCTCGATATACATCAGTCAAAATAAGTGTTTAAACAATTGTCATTTATTTCCAGCGTGAGCAGTACCTACATAATTAGGGTACGCACACAATGAAAGCAGGTTGCCAGCGTTGCTGGTTACCTGCTTAGGCTGGCGCCTGAAATTGAAATAAACAGGCCTGGCGCTGGCCTATTCGCACAGGTTTTCACTGTGAACACTTACATTATTATCCTATGTTCATTCTTGTGGCAGGTTGGAGCAGGTTGCCCGCGCGGGCAAACCTGCTTGCACTGTGTGCGTACCCTAAGCTTCGCAATATCGCATCTATTAAAGCAATATATAGATTATTCCTCATCAATACTTTATCTCATTTCCTAACCTGCTGATCTCAAGTCTCGTGATGACTTCATCACAAGGATCATAAGGATTTATGCCGCTGTTCAGGTCCAGTAGCAGGTCTCCGGAGTACTGCTTAATAACCGCGTCCCAGCGCCTGCCGTTCAGACCGTTCAGAAGACCCATAGGCAGCATTTTGACGTTAAGCTTCTCCGGTCGCTTGTGCGAGATCATCAAATGAACGGCATTCAAAGTACGGTCTGGGGGTTACAAAACAGTGATACATTATTACATAAGAAAAAACTATTATGCGTGACAATTGTGTAACAAAGATAGTCAATTATAAAATGTTACGGCATCTAAAACACTGCGCGGGGCATTAACGTCCTAGCTAAAAACGGACAGAATAATTTCTGAGTAAAATATATTCTATCGTTTAATTCCCTTTCCACTTACCGGAACTGATAACCCAAGTTTTACAGTGACTGAAAGAAAGTTCGGCGGCCTTGCGAGCTACATTTGTCACGGAAGGACACCGTAGCATGAACGCCTGCCAGTGCTCGTGGTTCGTAAGCCCTGCGTGTCGAAGAGCTGCGTGGAAATCCGACCAACTGTCAGTGAGCGTTTCAGGACTCTTGCTCTGGAGATCCTGAACCACGTAAAGCAGGACCTCCTGAAGCCTGCAGAAAAATCATACAGAATGATTGCCAGATATTCAAATTTTTTGCAAAAATGATACTCAGAAGTACCCATGCGAGTTATGACCAAGCTTTACATATCAGTCAGTTTTACCTTCACCTCCAGTCAAATTTTAAGATTCTATTAAACACTTGCGAGAATTATTCTGATGAAAACGTTCAACTCTGCATATCAAAGGGACACATAATGCTAGCCCTGCCCTCTTAAGTAAATAAACATTCAGGGTCTAATAATTGGAAGCTGCCTAGGTCACATCACTCACATGTACGATGTAGATATAAAAGTGAAACAAAGTTACACTTGTTCAGAAACAAAATTTATGTCCCCAGCAAAGGTGTAAAACACTGAAGCAGGTATTGTAGATTTATAGGCCCACTGTGATGCTTGGAACTATTAAATGATAAAAATTGAAAATAATATATGCGATTCACTTACTGATTCTCAGCCGTATCACGAGGCAAAATTTCTTCCAAACGAATGTTCCTCATGAGTTGTTTGACAACGAAGTGCGCAGCAAAATACTCCTGTGATGATTTGTGTTGGAAGCTGTAAGTAGTTTCATCCGTATCGAAGAAAGACCTCTGCGTCTTTAGAATCGAAGAGAGAATGAGCATCAACTTAGAGTCACTGAACTCTTTGGTGTCTCGCAATTTAGCATAGCATTGCTTTAGCTGACACTGAAAGACATTTCCGTCAAAGCTGAGTGTCCCATCCTGTAAGTAGCTCAGGGCTACTTCACCAATCGCCAGAAAAATGTTGTCGATCAATGGGTTGAAGTCCCCGACGTATTTATCGCACAACTTGGTTTTGACGATCGTTTTGCTGAGCAGCAGAGTATCGCGGGCAACGTCGTGGAGTGTTCGCCACTTGGTGACGATGTCTGGGGAATGTTTGAAGACGCTGCAGAAGTGTAGCAGACTGATTGGTTCTATTAACATGGCTGCCACGTCCAAACTCAAGTGAGAGAAACAGTCACTCATACTCATTGTGATTGTCTGGGTATTATTGCCACTAAATTTTTTTTCGTATTTTCTAATGAATTCTATCTGCTTTTCTCGGTCTGATATTGGAGCCAGTTTGTATTCAGCGTGAGTAACATTTTTTACAACGAGCAAATGTTGCAGTTCCTCCACTCTGTGAGGACGAGTTGTGATGAGGATACGACAGTTGCTCCGAGGCCAGACTTTTTCAAACAACGCTGTCAACACTGCCTTGGAATTCTGGTTGTGTTCATCAAAGCCGTCAACAAGGAAGAGCAGTTTAAGGTGGAACAGGGCGTCAATTACTTTATCTATGTTAATTTCATAACATACCACTCTGAAATGGTGTTCAATCACCTGTTCGAAATCTTTTATTTCTGTGTTTCTACACTCGACGTAAATAAGCATTTCAAAATCTTTCAGACCCGTTGGTGTTTCATGATTAATCATATTAAAGTACTGGAGAGCGACGGTTTTGAGAAGTGTAGTCTTGCCGGCCCCAGTCACTCCCGACACGATGATTACCTTTTCGCCGGATTCGAAAAGTTCTTTATACGGAATTGACTTTTCAAGATTTCCTTCAACTCGAGCCATGTCCAGAAATGTAAAAATGTCCATGAGCTTCACGTGAACATTTGAAGGCAGCAAAACTTGTTCAGAGAATGCTAAAAATCTAGTTTCAACCTCCTCTTTTCCTTTACTACTCAGGAGAAAACAAGCGCGAGCGATCTCTTTTTTTGTCTCAGAAAACTCCGATTTGATTTCATCGTCTAATTCCTGCAATAATTCATCTACTTCGTCTGGCTTAAGAGCGTAATATTCGCCTGCGGTGCGTACCATTTCGGGAAGCACCGAGGTCAACATACTAAAGTTGGTGGCAGCCAAGGTTTCTGTCGCATTGTGCATCAAATTGTTTCGCAGATCTTTGAGCTTCTTCCAGTGGTTTAAAAGCGTGGAAAGTTTTGGTGAATATCCTGTATCTTTTAATTTAATGCGATATATATTTTGCAGGAGACTGTACAGGGCCGTAACATCCATATTTTCTGGAGTTGTGCATACTTCAAATGCTGGTCCATTAAAAGAGCACATACTGCGCCACTTACGTTGATCAAATTCCGAGCCATCATGCCTTTCCATGTATTTTTTATACGTTTCATTAGGCCCTTTGTCCCTGCATTCTAAGTCCACGCACTTGGCCATATATTTGGGGCCAAGGTACAGGCATCCCAGGATGTTGTTGTGCAAAATCGCCATCTGCTGAGCCGTGTCAGATGGCGAAGCCGTCATGGGTTTAACTGCACTCGGTCCGAGTGGGGTCGCCATCGTCTGAATGTGTTATATTCTGCGAATGAGATCGTGCATACAGTTACTAAACATAAAATTTGAAACTTTATGATGAGTGATAAGCGTAGGTATTTTTTACATAAAGATACACTCCTCCCCTGCAGGAAAGTATTTAGCTCGAGGTTGCCGACGGTTCATAGCGTCTGCGTGGCGTTCGAGAAATCAACTGTTTGTTATGCTCTACGGAGTTCTTGATCTTTGAGCATCTTCATAAGCAATCGATTATCGAAGTTTCTGCTCCCTCAAAAAGAAAACGAAATTTGATTTTCTTCCGGCCAGTTCCCCATGGTTGATACTATCTAAATTTATTTTGGGATTGGCTAATAAAGTGGCCAGTGGATAACTAAAAAACTGCGCTGAAACTTATCCACGCGACAACATTTCTTTTTGCTTCGAATCACCGACATGTGGAATAGCCTCCCCGATTACATCGTTGGCGCTCCGAGTTTGAACGCGTTCAAGAACAGACTAGATAAAGCCATGGAAAATATATGTTCAGACTTGAAATGCCTAGCACCATATCGAACCCGGTGGAAGTTTTGTAGCTATTTCAAAGTATCGTCAGTCCTGAGAAGATCCGGTCAAATGACAATTTTAGATCTCCTGTGAACAAGTCACGATAAGTACCTACAAGAATCGGCGACTGGCCACATCAGGCCTAGTCTTCAGCGCCGACATCACTATGTTATGTTATGTTATGTGTGAGAGCGACCAAGAGACCTGGAGGATTGTGGTTAATTGAGTGATATCTTCACCATTAAAAGAGATTTTGGAGAACCGATTTTTGAGATAAGCCAAAAGATTTAATGAACGAAAACGTCGGTAAAATCTGCACATTTTGTTGCGAGTGTTCATGAGATAATCGTAGTCGTCTTTTCTGTTAAATCTGCCACAAATCTTTCTGTGTCAGCAAAACATGTGTGGTGCCTGCTTGTACTGCAATTCATCGTCTCCGCTTGAACATTGTATACTTTTTATGACATCAAGAATCATTTTTCCCGAATCTCAAATGAAATTCCAAATGATTCGCGAACATTCCTCTGCCAGGTAGCTAAATTTCGAGAGGTTCGTTAACTTTTTAAATATAAATAAAGCATCCCAGATTATTATACAAGGTAACTGCTGTTGATTTTAAATACTGCAATCTTTGAGCAAGCTCCAGAATTTCTAGCCAACTCTGTATGGTCTATCGAGATTCTGAGTATTGTCAAGAAATGTGCCTTAGTTTGGATGCCACCGGAACCTTAATGGCCACTCCCCTCCTAATTAGGGGGAGTGGCCATATCTGATGCTAAAATAACGTCGATTAAACGTTGTTCCAATGACATTTGCCTGGAGATACGAGATGTTCTTGTCATGTGTTACGAGGTCTTATTTGCTGTAACTGTAAATAAGAGGTTTTCTATTCTGTAACTGTAAAATAATACGAGTGCTCACCTTTCCCAGCGCTGTGGCAAACAGTTCTCTCACACCTGCACCATCTCACTGCTATATGTGCGCAGTTGCACTAGGTATATGTTCGCAGTGCGCTTAAGCAACCTCTCAATCACCTAGCATACTAGCTGAGCGTGAGGCTCCATGCTGACGTATCGTGCGATAAGACGGTACGAAACTTTCGAGCCTGATAACAGGATATCTTAACACCATTACTTTCAATATCTACTCTGAGTATAATTGAACTTAGTTTAAACCTCACTCAACTACCGTTGAAAAATTCTGTGAATAAAAATGTCTTGATTTGGTGCGATAGTTGTTATTGAGCCACATTTAACAGCTCCTCCTAATTAGCAATGATGTAAAACAATTTAATTAAACAAAAAACAGCTTTTTAACGTCGTCCTGTAAATAAACGGCCTGATTTCTTAAAATGTATTTAAAGAAGCAGCTGACAAGGCTGCTCATAGTGTCCCAAGTGAGTCATGAGCGCAAATAACCACAGCAAAACTCACTGATGAGTGAATATGAACTAAGAATAGTGATGACATTATCATGGTAGCTCTGTGGGTAAAATCATCAAAATTTTAGCAGCGAGTTAGGATTTTGAAACTACCTGCAACTGGTGAAATTAATAGTCAAAATCAAGACTTAAGACGTCAACGAGGTGGCCGGGTGGATAAGCGCATCAAGATTTTAGCAGTAAGTTTCGGGTTCGAGACTAGCAGCTAGCAGTTAAAATTCGACGGTGCCTAAAATCGGAGGCCATGCAGCTAAAGATGACCATTTCATCATCGCTAGCACCACTAATATTACGTCACTCCTATGATTTTGCGTCACTCTTACTTTTTCTAACTTAACTCAACTTTATTGCACTCTAATTTAACTCAACTTTAAGATGATAGCGTTCACTAGCACTATCAGTGGTTAATTATCAAAATCAACGCTCCACAAAGTGTGGGGCTCGCATCGCTGAGAAGAAACGGTGGCGTTGTTGAAAGCTGAAGTGTAGAGCGAACATGGCGCAAGCTCAATTTGCAACCTGTTTGTTTACATGATAACGGCATGACCAGCTTGAAACAATACTCTTTTACTAGCCATCAACTCACGGTAGAGTTTGTGGGGGTTTAAGCACCCGACTACGTCTAATAACTATTTGACTCCTATCATGGATATTAAGGTCAAGGTAACTAGACTTATTTCTATAGGACAGACTGAAATTGCTGAGGGGGGCCTGATGTAATTGGTCGGTTAATTACAACAACATCAATTAATAATTAACACTTTATTCGATTAGGTTCACGTGACCTGCTCGATGATAATGATCCCGGGAGGAATTGGGCGACCAGGGCCAGTAGTGAAGACGAGGTGCTGACGGCTCGGTGAGATGCACGCGGCTACGCGGGGTGAGACGTGGCGTGACGTTGTCGTGGTGATGTTACAGAGGCACGTGATGAACCTCGTTACAAAGGCACGTTGTGTTGTTACCGGAGGCACGTGATGAACGTCGTTACAAAGGCACGTTGTGTTGTTACCGGAGGCACGTGATGAACGTCGTTACAAAGGCACGTTGTGTTGTTACCGGAGGCACGTGATGAACGTCGTTACAAAGGCACGTNAAAGACACGTTGTGTTGTTGCCTGAGGCACGTGATAAACGTTGTTACAAAGACACGTTGTGTTGTTGCCGGAGGCACGTGATAAACGTTGTTACACAGGCACGTGATGTTGTAGCCGGAGGCACGTGATAAACGTTGTTACAAAGGCACGTTGTGTTGTTGCCGGAGTCACGTGATGTACGTCGTTACAAAGGCATGTAGGATGTAGTGTTGTTGTGGGCATTAAGTGCCCGACTACTTTCAATAATTACCTATTTGACTCCTATCAGAGGTTATTGAGGTCAAAGTAATTATAATTATAGTTATTTTCACTAAAACAAACAGAAATTCAAGGGGCGGCTTGATGTAATTTATGCAAACCGTTCGATACTCACCTATCGTTTAATATAGTTCTTTGTTGAATGTGCAGATGTCACTATTCTCACGAGGTGGGAAATTATACTTATTATCATGTTAGGGATAGATCACTCCTACTTCTTCAATAAGTCGATAATTTAGCTTTTCTTACAACTGATGAAATAAAATATTCCTTGAACCCTTTGCCATTCTTCGAACAGCCAGATGGATTTATAACTCTCTCCGCGTGTTTTCTACTAAAATTACAAACTACTGTTCAATGTGAGTATTGTTCTGAGTATCCCATTCCTCCCATTTTTTAGGGGGATTCCTACTCAAGTTGTCTAGTCTAGACTCTCCACCTACCTTCAGCCAATGAGGTTAGGTTGGAACCGGTCACGCGGTTTGAAGTGAGAGTAGGAGCGACGTGAGTAGGAGACCTCCTATAGAAAGGAAGAAGAGTTTACTAGTAATGGAGAAGAAGAGTTTACTCTACAAAATACTCCCATTGAACAATAATTCTTGGATCTTCAGTCTCTGTAGAAGGGATTTCTTTACGTGGCCGGACCGGGGTTTTGCAATGCCTCCACAGGCAAAGGAGGACAGTAGCGCGCTACATGTAGCGGCCGCTGCATTTTCAGTAGCGGAAGCGCGCTACATTTCAGCAATTGTAGCGGTAGCGGTAGCGCCCGCTACATATTTAAGTAGCGATACGAGGTTTTTGCCGCTACAGCACTACCGCTACATTTATAGATAAAGCCTTTAGATTTTACTTAATAGTATTAAATATTATTTAAAAACCAGCATGATACATACATAATATAAATTACAGAATAAAATTGTACGAAAGATTTCGGTGCAATGTTGTCAACCTCAGCCTGTTACTAGTGTCAACATGTCAGTTGTTAGTCCAGAGGTGAGCAGTAGCGAGCTACATGTAGCGGCCGCTACATTTCAAGTAGCGATAGCGGCGCTACATTTAAGCAATTGCAGCGGTAGCGGTACATTTCAAAGAAGCGCCGCCCAGCTCTGTCTACAGGAGAGCTGAGAAATTGTATTCTACTCTATAGGCCTTCAAGACGACTTCACAAATTCCTGAGCACCTAAT